TACGTTGCGATGAGTTCATCTGAATAAAAAGCATGTCTGTTCATATTTTAATAATTATTTATGTTAAATTATCAATGCGATGCTTGTTGTAGAATACAATTCAAGTGGGATAGACTGGGGAAAACAGCGTATAATATTTATATATTATGCACAATGTTCATTTGTTCACATTAAATTTATTACCAATATTTTTTGTTCCATTGTCGGAATAATTTTCAAGTATTACATGCGTGAAATCTATATTATGTGTAAATTATATTTAAACACAATATGATGAAGCTTTAATTAATTTATTACATTTGATAAATGTACGCATAAATAATAAGTATAAAGTTAAATATAGAGAAAAAGTGCAGCGTTCTATTTAAATTCTGAGTGTGAATTAGATAAAATATACTTATTCCACGTTTGTTTTCATTAATATTCAAGAATCCTATCTATTTATTTACATAGATTAAAATCATTCATCAATACTGTAATATTTTCATAAATGATTAGGTATGACACTAATAATATTTAACTCATTTTAACTAAATCTACAATTTTTGATAGTAAAACTAAATATTTTCAATATTATAATATTAAAATTGAAATTATCTTTTTATTATTTTAAGTTACTCAAAAAGTGTATAAAAAAAAACATTTTTCTAATTTGATATCTATGGTTTGTTATATGTTATACGCTAAATTTCAGTATAGTATTAAAACAACATTAAATTTGTTTTCTTTTTATTTTTGGATTTAAAAAATAATTATTTATTAAATTTAATACTATACTAAAGCTAAAAATAGAGTATGAATATTAATGTAATTCATATTTTAAGTAATCACTTACTACTATTAATAAATTGAAAAGGAATTTTAAATTAAGTTAAATAAATGTAAATACCCAATAATTTGTATGAGAAAACATAATATAATTTACATTTTTTTATTATTAATATTTATTAATGTTTCCGATCTTGAAGTTAAAGTTTAAAATAAATAAAAGATACCATGTAATAGATGAACAGAGGATTTCAAATGTTGTTTCGCTGAGATTTGCTGATTATTTACTATAGTGCAGTATAATAATATAAACATATAAAAGCAAATGCGGTATTTGTCTTTAAATCTATTAATACGATTAACTCGTGATGAACACTATAAGTACACTCTGTTTGAATACATAATTTTTATTGTTTTGAGTGTTCTCGTTAAATAATTATAATAATATTATAGTACTATGTCTACATCATTGTAAACTTATTTTGTTATGATATATTTTTTTAATATAAAACTATTTAATACATATTTATATTATTAATTGTAATGTTATGTAAATATTTTACAGTGGCCACTAATGCTGCTATGTTAAAAAAAAACAAAAAAAACTTATAATCAAATTAAAAATTATAATACCAGTTAAGTAATATGAGATCAGTATATTATATCATTGAAACCGAAAATAACTACTATCGTGGTAAATATACGTGTGGACTTAATAATAATATGATCGTTTCGTTTTATGTTATGTGAAAGGATTTTGGTCTTATTATCAAACTTGCACTGAAATTATTGTTATTACGAACCTCTTATTTCCGTCTTTTTTTATTAAGTATCGTTTTAATAACGAACTAAAGAAAACAATTTCGGAATACAGTTTACAATCACAAACGATTATTCGGTATTTTGGTATCTTTTATTATTCTGTAGCTATAATAACAATATTTTAAGATCCAGTAGGAAATGAATTAGATTAGGAAAACTATTACAGAATATATAGTAATCAGGCAAAAATATTCATTTCAACAAATTATTATTAAGTTTTTGTTGAAAAAATAAAATAAAATATTATAATCTAGATGACATAATAAGTAGATTAAACTCGAAAAAATATTTCTAGGGGTGGTGTAGAGATTTATACTTTACTTTGGTTATTTTTTTGGCACTTTTAAAAGTGTTTTATCTTGTTTTTTAATACATAAAAAAATATTTTAACATCCATTTAGAAGAAAGCTTGTCATAAATATTGGCAACCGTTATAATTTCGATCTAAAATCAGTTCATTGATCATAACGGTTGATTGACATTAATAAAAACAAATTCATAATAATAATTAAAGTTTACGTGGCACAAATATGTATTCGATTAGTATTGGTTATTTGAATTTGCTTTTGACAACAACGGAATGACATATACGCTTGAGCGTTTTTTTTTTTTTCACTTGAAAGCCGAGTCACTCATAAAATACACATTTTAATTCAAATACATCGAGTGAGTATAACGTCTTTGATGTACTAAAAACAGCTAGTTATACCGACAACCTGAGTTTAATTCTATTAATCCCAGAGAAGTTCAATTCAGTAGGTACAGATTCGTCGAGGGATAAAATAATACGTAGAAATTATGCAATTGTCAATCTGGAAATGACATATATTCGCCAGTAAAGAACGTGGTACATAATATGAGTATGTAGGTGAGTGTATCGGATTTAGCTGAAAACTAGTACTAAGATTTCAGGGATCGCCTCAATTATAGTGAAATGGCTACATTCACGTAATTATTACAGATTGGCCAGGCGACTGCTTAAAAACGAACCACCAGTAGTAGGTAACTGTGGAGATTCGTTGGAAGTCGTATTTTGAATGCATGAATGTTGGACGCCTATGGTGACATTCAAATATCACTGTCAGTACTGTGTTATTAAAAGGGGATAAAGAGAATGCTCTTGGGAATTTCAGATTCATACAACTATAAGGTGCCTATATATTAATAAACTATACTCGTATATATAGTTGATGAAAAAAGAACAACAGTATTTGAAATTATTCACAAATATTTTGCTCCTATCATTATTCCATGGACGATTCTAAGTATTCTAATTACGCAGTTTACTTGAGATACCTCATTTCAATCACTTATCAGTAATTATTATTCGATTTATGTTTTTTTATAAATTCCATATATAAAAGGAAATATGTTACTAAAATATTTGTGTTTATTGTGTCTATTAATAATTATAGTTAGATACATATATTATGATGTTTTGGTATAGTGAGAAAAAAATAAAGAAAACAATTACATAAGTTAATTTTTCTTAGCATTAACTATAATTTAAAAAAGCGATATTTTCTAGTTTGAAGAGTTATCCCATCATCCCTTCTATATATCAAGCGAATGAGAGGCGATAGACAATGTTTGCCTTAACGTGGAAAATGGCCTAGCGCAGCACTGAGTCGATGACATACATATCATGTCACTTTTATTGCAATTTAACTTGGTCGCCATGTTGCTTTATACATTTTTAATGTAAAAACAGTTGAATTTGTGTGCAAATTGTAAACATTTAACGGGCATTTTCTCTCGAGTAAATGGTCGGCTTTTAACCAAAAGCCTTGAAACATGAATTTTTTGATATTATTAATGTTAAAATCGATTTTAATGATGTCATACAGAAGAAATTGACGACTGCTAATATTATTTATATAACTCATCCAAGAGTAATATTTATCACTTCGGGGCATTTTATATAATATCGCAATCAAATATGCAGGTAGCTATACAACGACAAAAACATAAACAACAACAACAATAATTATAATTTAATAATTTAATATAAATAACCGTATGTTTAGAACTTAAATCCTAGAAATCTAGTAAGTCACCGTAACTTGATAGTTTTATGTTTACAAGATAACAATAGAAAAAATTTGAGCAAACGATGAGTGGCTAAGACCAAAAAATATTGAAATTTGGTGTACAAATTTTTTCAAACATTTAGGTGTAATTTATAAAGCATAGTTATGCATTTTTATTAAGTTTATTATTATATTTTAACCTTAAAAAATACATTTTTATAAATTCAACATTAAATATAATAATATTTTCGTGCGTGAGATATTTTCAATAGTTATTTAATAATAATTATCAGAATTTATTATAGTACATATGAAATATAATGATACATAATATGGTGTACAGACAACAACGATTCAAAACCCCATATTATGTGGCTATTGAAAAACTATTGTCACGCTTAAACTACGATAGAGTTGAAAAATACTATTCATACTCAGAGTGCGACACTACACACACAGTATCCACAATAATGCTCTCCCTCGCCACGCTATTGTCTTTAATAATACATTTATTTAAATTCTAACTTTTGGCATGTTTGAGTATAATATATTCAAATTCTTAGGTGTTATGCAATTTAAAGAGTTGCTCGAGGCGATGGTCTGACGACTTTGTGAAATGCAGTTAAAAATTCCAGAAATCATAGTTTGAATTATTAATGTACGATTTAAGGATAATAGGGGGTTAGCACGCTTGGTAAATTACCTTGTATACATAATTATATAAATTACACGGAACACAGAACTTACAGCTTACATTGTATGCGTGTGGAAAACGTATATAGTGTACTCGCGCGAGTATAATGTAATATTTGACATGCGGAATCGTATATAATATACACCCGAACTAACCTGGCGACGGATTGATCGAATCGGGGGCGGCCCGCGTTTTTTATTTCCATCTACCGTCACTGACACACCACAGCCACCTCCACCGCCTCCATGCCCCGTGACGACACGAGAACACACAGGCGGTGATGTCCGCGTCCCACATGTGTTGACGAGATAACGGATCTGTCGATAAAAAAAAAAAAAAAAAAAAGAAAAAAAAAAAGAGAGACACAGGGAGAGAGCAAGAGAAAACCGTCCGACCGACCGACCGACCCTATCTCTCAAGGCGAACGCCGCCGCCGTCGCCGCTCTGAAGAATTGGGCGCGGGTGGAGACACGGCGACGCGACGTGTGTGGGGTGGTTCATGCGTACACACGCAAATGTAGAAGAATCTCATTCCTCCACCCCGCGACATTCGCTCCGACCACGCACCGCCACCGCAATCTATACAAACCACCCTTACTCGCCTGCTCTATACGCCGGCGTCCCGTCATTCCGTATTGGCCACCGCCGCCGCCGACGCTCCCGCCAGTTTCCGAGCAACCCTTCGACCGGCCGGTGTGGCGTTCGTCGTTGTCGTCGTAGTCGTTCGTTTTCTGTTTTTCGCGTACACACCCAAATACACGTAAAACCACAACGTACACACACATACACACACACACACACACACACACACACACGGCTATTCACGCACGCACACACATACACATACATACAGATATACATATATAAATATACACACTCACATCATATTGCATACACACATACATGGAACCCACGTCGTAGGGTACCAAAAATTACAGTGTTTTGTCGCGAACAGTGCGATCGCTATTTTTCAATATTTTTTTCAACGTTTCATAGTTGAGATTTTCCCCCTCAAAATTTGAAAATAATTAATGTTTTTTTTCAAGTGTCTAATTTAGATTATTATATTATTATTGTTATTTTAATTATACATTTCGGTGTCCGTTCAAAATGTGGTGTGCGAATGGTTAGCGACGTCGCCGTTGTTATAATCGTCAACCTCCCGAGTACACCGTATAAACATTGTGGTGAGTGCAATCTATCCACACACACACACACACACAGACACGTAAGCGTGTCCAAAAAAAAAAAAAGTACAAATAAAAAAAGAGCACCTGCCCTGAAATAGGTTTTTCTGCGCCATCGATTTGATTTATTGCGTCATTATATCGGTACTCGTCCGAAACGAGATTAAGATGCGATCTCGTCTCGTGCGCGACAGATATAGCAATTTAAAACGAATTCTCTGACGATACAACAATGAATTATTAGTACTCTACTGATTTATAAAATAGAAGAAATTCAAAAAGACATGTGTGCATAAGCTATTAATCTAAATACGACGTATAGATAAGTACAGAACAAACTTTTAATTAATCTATACATTGATAAGCATAGTATCGAATGGTAAAGGTAAAGTCGAAATCTATTTTTCATTTGATTAAATATTAATAGCTTTAATTTCGTTTTTCGTTTTTCGGTTGGTATTTTTTTATTTTATTTTTCAATTATATTTTATAATTTTTTTATTTTTTCGAAATTTATATAATTGTTTTATAATGTTATACAAATAAAGTAGTATTTAATACGCATTAAATAACATGCATATACAGTATACATATTCAGAATAGTAAATAAACACGTTACAATGAATCGAATTTCTATACCCTTGAAATTAAGACATTTGTTTTAGTATTACCGCCTTCGTAATTTCTACTAATTGCAAACTTCCACTAATACGATAATACGTGGGTTTTAATAAGTATGCAAACATAGGCCGGTCATAATTCACGAAAGTTTTGAATGGAATACCCTATATTTTGGGAACAGATATAAAACATAAAAAGTTAATTTTTGGATAGCGTTCAGAGCAAATAAGAAAACTATTTATGAGCTGAAAAAAACTTACTTTTCCTGCGTTTTGTTTTTTTTTTAATTTTTTTTTTTTTTTAACATTTTCAAAAGAACAACATTACCGCTAAAGGCGACATTGAAGTTTTTATGGATTTTCAAGTAGTATTAGTTTCATATTTAAAATATTCGTCGTTGCATATATGTATATGTAATTTTTTTTCTCCTACTCTTTCTCTCTCACTCTCTCTTTCTCTCTCTCTCTCTCTCTCTCTCACCGGCACCGTGGATTATTTAAACTTTTCCGTCAGTTTCCCGCTACGATTTGAGTAACTACATTATATTGTTTTGTATACAAAAAATGTTACCATTTATCGTAATTTTATATAAATGTTCGATCGTTCTTATTAAACGTCCGACTTGAAATTACCGTAATGATATTGCTTATACATAATCGGTCGCGAGGATGTTGTCTCGATGAATGCATCATATCACGTGCAGCACCACGTCATACACGGGTACTACATAATTAAATATAATATTTAGAAGCAAATCGTCGTGACTAAATTTTAAATCGTCTGATTGAATTGGATGAATGCCCGTGGAATTAGCGGGGCCCGTAATGAAAAACCCGGAGACCTTATAACTGCGGTTGAACGCCGAAATGACAAAGATATTAATTAGTTCAGCGTGACGTTACCCTCCACCTCTATACACACATTAATATATATATATATCCTACAATTATCCCCTCGTAATTATTCGTCCTTTACATCTGAAGAATGAGCCGTGTAGCAATTAAAATGCTACATAGCTCGTAAATGCAGTATTAGGCTGTTATAATTTTTTTTCGTATTTCCTTGTTCGAAAACGTCTTATTATGATAATATTAAATACTTTTCACTGCCGTGATTTATATTTTTTTCATTTGTTCCATTCTTTTATCGTATAAAATCATCGATAGAATTTTTTTTTTCATTTACTCACATTTCATATCTCTAGAGGCAATTTGAAAAATAAAAATAACAAATTATATAAAAGTAAACCCTTCTGGTGTTTGGAACTATCTCTCGAGAGTGTCGTGTCATTTATTTTTTATTTTTTCCTCTAGCACTCAATTGGTGCTGTTACGGATAATAATCGAACCACTAGTGGCCGAGTTCAGGGGACTATGGAATTGGTACTCGAGGGAAAACGTGCACTTGATATTTTCAAATTATATTTTAATCGATTCAATGATCAATATCTCGCTGGGGGGTTGTTTTGTTTGGTTCGAATTCGTTTATATATAGTGTTCGATTATTATTGCTATATCTTATTTACTAGTTATGTTAGTAAAAAAATAAAAAATAAAACAAGCAACAAAATTCATAATATATTTAGACAGGTCGTAGAGAGATATTTCTGTTAATTACTTTTAGTTAAATTATTTAGAAGACACACATTGAACCAACTACAAAAATATCTATTATGAATTTTGGAAACTGTTTTAAAAAGTTATTACACTTCAATAAGCTTGCAAACCAATTTTTTCTGTAAGTTATTTCATCGGGCCCTTTAACAGTGTGAATGTAATGTAAATATTATTGATTTAGTCAAAATGTGAAGTAACTATATATGAAATATGATTACCTTGATATAATTTATAAAGACACAAAAACTTTGAATATTGCAAGAATTCGTAATTTCTATATTTACATATAGTTTTTTTTTTATAAAAATAATAAAAACATCGAAATATTAAATACAATAAGTATTATACACGAACGATGTCAAATCAAATGGATGATATGTCATTTGAATATTTTTCAGTATTTACATCAAGTATCTAAAAAATGTATTAGGAGAAAATATAAGCCGTTATTGATGAGTTTAATAGATTTGTTGTTTAGATTTGTAAACAAACATTATGATAATGCGCTAAAAATGAGCTAAGGAAATTGATGATTCTTTTTTTAACATATGTTTTAGCACAAAAAAAAATGTTTCTCCATTACTCCATGAGAATTATGCATTATGTTTTAACATAATGTCAATCGTTGAATGCAGATTTGATTTATCGATACCTCTTAGAATCCATATTTGTTATTATCTTTGGTGTACATAAATTAAATTATGGCTTACTATACTGACCAGAATACACTATATATATATTTTTTTTTTTGTTTTATGTTTGGCTCTCTATTTTTCTTAGACTCTGTTGATAGAAATCCGAATGGATTTTGACCTTAGGTCACATACATTTAGGAATTCAGCAATCTTATAAATTATTGCAATACTATTAAAGTACGAATCGGTATCATTTATTATTAACACGTCAACACTATAATAATAGTAACAGCAATAAAAACAAAACAAAAAAAAAAAAATAAACAACACAATTGAAACGTTTATTTCGATATGAAAAGTATCTGGTCAGTCTTTAATCAGTAAAAAATACAAATAAAATCTGATTTTTGTTCGAATGGACTACTTACCGCCGTTCGTTGCATAAGTCTCGTATGCACATATGCAATTTTCTGAACTTGAAATTTCGATTGTTGTACATTTAAAACTTTGTCCACATTTTTGGTTGATCATCAATCAACGTGTCATGCGTGGGTCGTTTATTTTCTTTCCGAAAGTGCAAAAGTTTTAAAAACCACAAATACTTGTCAAAAGGAAACAAAATAACCACAGTACATTTCAGTATATTGTATGTATAATAAAATATAAAAACTATTACCTTTAAACAACTATAAGTAATTTTTCCTTATATGATTCCATGAAAATAATGGTAATTATAAACTCGTGCAAGATAAATTATATAACCTTCTTGATTCGATTTTTTTAGTATTAATAAAAAAAAATATATATTAAATCAAATTATATTACTGTGAGTAATTAACATTAAAAAAAAAAAAAAGAATCAAAAACTTTTCATGAGTTATGGTTTGTGAAATTACATAATTTGATATATATTCGTTTTAAAACACAAACATGCACACGATTATTAATGGGTGTTTTGTTTTTACAAGTAGTTCAATCTTTAAAAATCAAAGCAGGGAAATGCAATATAAAAATATATTTTATTCATTACGTGATTCATTTTATTAATAATATGTTCTAAATTAATTTATGCAAATCGATCGTTGAAAAAAAAAATAGAAAATTCATTATAATATTATATAATATAATTAAAATACATCGCTGTAATAACTATGCTAGGAGTTACTTTTATAAGCAGATTTGATTACAAACAATAATACTAAAACGGATGATTGCGTAGTCGAAAACTATAACCATAAACCTATCTTAACGTCAGTGTACTATTTTTATCGCATTGCACCAATATATTATTACAATCGAATTATTTATCTCGTGCTATACAGGTCTGATATTATGTGTTGCATATAATCTCCGAAATTAAAATTATTATGCATTATGGAATTTATCGAATGCGAATTGCAGCCTTCTATTAAAAAAAAAAAAAAAATAAATAATCATACCTATACAATTAATAGATAATATATTATTATTTTAATTTAAAAACAAACATTTTTTTTAGGGTTCTTACGACATTATGTTTTGCAACTTTTGACTATTTTATTATATAATATACCCGAAATATTTTCAAAATAATCATTTAGGTATAGTTCAAATATATAAACTAATTACAAATAACACTGATGTGGATGAAAACACCAGGGCATTCATCGAGTGCCTACGTCCATATAACCTAAATCAAAATTAGTTTGATTATAAGCCATAGATGAAAACTTCTACAACACCTTAATATCCATAATCGTTTGTTAAAAAATCATGATATAATTATCAGTTAATGTAAGTTGGTAAGTGTTATTATGAACTGTATAAATAAAATAGTATATGTTTGTCATAAATTTATTTAGTTTTCTGCTATAGTGTTGAACACATCTGACTACTATCGCAAACACCATTTTTAATTGTTTTTCTAATAATCATTGACGTGTAGATTTTCACACTAAAATTTATATGTATAGACTATAAATTATTATGATTGTTTCTTTTTTAAATTGTCCTAGTTTAATTTAATTTAATAACTATACATAAAAAAAAAATAAAATAAAAATATAAAATACAGAAAATAATGCGTCTGATAAAAACTTGAAGTAGATAATCTACAAAAAACTTATAAGATTTACTTCATTATTATGAA